GCTGAGTATTATCCCCATCTACAGCAATATAAAAACAACGCCTTTGAAACCATACCCACTCAGTTTCTCCTTATATGCTAATGAATGTCACAGTTTCAGAGCCTGAGGAGAAATTTCTTGTACAACATTTCCCTGCCTTAACATTGCACCTGTTCCCAGCTCCAATTGCCAGGTTACAAACACGAATTAACCCTAGTTCTAAATTGATTCCATTACATATTGCTCAGTCCCTGGGGAGGACAATTTACATCTGTGAATTGCTTCAAGACTTTGAAACAGTTAGCATTAAAAATTCTAACTTCATCCCCAGACGTTTGTCAAACTTAAGATATGTATTGTCATCACCACTAATAATCAGACCCCAAACCAACCTTTCTATTGACACAATTGTTACCCTTTCTTCATTTATAAAACTGGATAATTTCAATACATTTTGTAGTCACACTGATACCTAATGCAATGTCTTGAAGTAACAAACTGTAACTAAGCACATCACGACATTACGGCAACTGGTTGGTTAATTCCAAACCCAACCACTTATCTTTGTTATGGTTTTTAATTAATGTCATATGCTGTATGAAGCAAGACACTGTTTTTGTGTTTGGAATATACAACTTTTGGGCTTTGTCTCTCTGTTTTAATCAGCCTACGACGATGCAGGTGTGCTATCATGAAAGCAAATGAAGCCAAAGAGACCAAAAGGAGTTGGGAGGAAAAAAATGAATGCACATGAGAGCCCCAACACCTACGCACCCTTGCTTTTACCAATTGTAGGCTTGGCTCTCAGTGTTTTAGAACCCTAGCATAAGAAGGAGATTGCCACCATTTATGATTTTTCACTGCATAAGATGCTTTGTTGCTTGCTAATAGGAAACATTAATAAGAAAACACAGAAGCATTTTGAAGAGAAGAAACAGAATCCCAGATGAGGATGCTCTTATTGAAGAAGGAAGACGCTCCGGAGACTGCAGAGGCAGTAAAGAGAGAAGTTCAGAGATCCCAGCAGGTAAAGAGGTAAATTCAGGATGGCAAGAAGCTGCCAATACAAGAAAGCTAAGTAGAAAAGAAGACTACTTTTACTCAACGCCTGGGGTCATTGCTTCAAGACACACCAAAGCTTTCTTCTATCTACACAATGCTTCCCTGAATCCTGTGCTTTCTAGAACTAAGCATTCAGAGAATAAAGTCATGGAAAGCAGACACCTTTTACCTGTAACATGCAACAGGAAGAAAGAATGGAGACCTGGTTTGCTTTCAGGGGTCACACCTGAGTCGATGATAGGTATCATTGGAAGCATATGCAGTTATACAAACGTTGAGTTCATGCTGTCTCTGAAGTGAAACAGCAATTCTTTAGAGACACATTGAATGTCTTCCCAGTCTTGCAGAGAAGGGAGAACCAGTGAGTTACCCTTCCTACCTCTAAGGAGAGCTAGGAAGAACAGCTGCTGTAAATTAGATATATTGCTTCCTTTTCCTCCAACCCTCCTCAGAAAAGAAGACAGCTGTCTACCCCAAAGCCCTAAAAAGAGACACAGGGGCCCAAACTCCTTGAATTCCGTATCAAATTGTTTAGAAAAAGCTGCAAGATGACCGTGAAACTTGTGAGACACTAGTTATGAAAGGAAGAAAAGGTCAGAACTTGCTCTCCAGTCCTGAGTCACTGCGGTGCTTCATCGTGACTCAGGCCACTCTACAACCCTGCTCTTGTTGGAGAGCCTTCAGGAGAAATCATCTGCACTGCAGTTCATGCCTCCACAATCAAGATCTAGTGTTTATCTTCTTATTCTTCTTATAATGCACAAAGAACGTGGCTCACTGCTTATCTCACTATAGGGCTTCTTCCACATTCCTCATGTCTTTGCCCATTTTAAAACATGGCCCTCTAACATTGTGGCCTTAACTTTTTAAACTTCATGATAGCTGGTCCCAAATTAGCTCTGATTATGTTTACCAGGGTTAGTACCCGAAGCTGCTAGCCGAGAACTCTGGCAGATAGATAATTGCAAAGACGAAGCCATAAAAGCAAATTCAGTTCGAGCAAATGAACAAAAGCTGAAGCAGTCAATGTGGTTTGACAAACTGGAAGACTTTGTATTTAGCTCTAAATTCAACCAAAGAGTTCTCCATCCCTTCATGTTTTGTGAGAGTTGATTAGATTAGGTTCCTCAATCTTAACCATCCATGAATGTGAGAATTATTTCTGAAATTTCTCCCAAGATGTTTGCAATGTCACCCCTCTCTGATTCTTTGGGGTGTTCATTCACTTTTCCAAACTATATTTCCATATTTACCCAGACAGAAATGTAACCGCAGATCTCTCTTTAGCTTACACACACACACACACACACACACACACACACACACACACCAAAAACTTCTTGACCAAACCATTATAGGATAAAAGAAAACAGTATTTAATGACCCCAAGCATAAATAACCTTTATTTGTTAATTGATATGCACTGTAAAGTAGATAATAATGATGTATATGATAATAATGATATGTAGCTCCTAGAATTGTTCAAGTATTAGATGGAGTGACACAAATCAACATTATAGCTTGCAATGATCTCATACATCCAACAATACAAACATTCCACACCCAATTTTCTGCAAGTTAATGTTGTTAAAAGATTGAGTCCTAGGAGACTTCAATACACATACCACTGTGAAGTGTGTGTGTGTGTGTGTGAGAGAGAGAGAGAGAGAGAGAGAAAGAGAGAGAGAGAGACAGAGACAGAGACAGAGAGACAGAGACAGAGAGAGAGAGATCAGTGAGGGTATACATATCCACTAATATGTATATCTAATCTCAATGTCTGTTATAGCTGCAAGACCATCGGTTGTTAAGCCACTTCCCATCTGAGCACAGATGTTCTTTTTGTTCTATCTTTCTCTCCCCGTCACTGGTTTTCCTCTGTCAGAACAAGTAAAAGAATTCCTGTCTTGGGCCAGAACCTAGAGCTTTCAGCACTCACCTCATTATGTATTTGCTTTCCATTTGAAGGCAGCAATTGGAAAGGGGTAAAATTTACTCTATCTAGTGACACCTAGAACATTCTAGAATATCATCATTTATACTGAACCATTGTGATTATTTACGTTAATTTATTAATAATAATTTTCTTTACAGAAACTCACTTTCAAATTTAAATATATTTATATAAAAGGAAATTCATTTTACTCTCTGTAATAAATAAAGATCACCTAAGTTCATTGTAAATTACTAATGACATATGTATCAAAATTTGGCAAGTGTGAGCCAAAATGTCCTTTTTTTATGGACACTCAGAGGCTGTACTGAGCAGGAAATGAATAGAAAGTCCATGACATTTGCCTGTTACTAATATTGTGGGTAGAGGGGGAGTGGGTAAGGACGAACATATGTTGATCGGATCCGGTTAGAAAACGGACTGAGAGAACAGTCCACAGACAACATTCTGGGGTGTGAGATCATCTTGAATCCCACACCATTGTTTCACAATAGCCCAGGAGAACAGCTAATGTTCACTTAATAGAATCATATTTTGCCATCCACAGCTAATGCTGCTATAAATAAATGTCTTTTTCTTTTTTTTTTTTTTTTTTTTTTGGTTTTTTCGAGTCAGGGTTTCTCTGTGGTTTTGGATATAAATAAATGTCTAAAAGCTAGCAACATAAGAGATCACGGTGTCTTAATTATCAACCCCAGTGGTGTGTTTTAACCAACTGACCCCATTTGATCCAACGTTGAGAACTTAAAGCTGTTTTGTAATGTTGTACCATCACTACTGCCCACTCTGAATTTTGGTTAACAACTGAAAACCGATGTCCTCTGTATCCTACTATGTTTTCCCTGCATAAATAACCTCACAAGCTTTGAGAGGGAAGTAAAACACACGCCAGTAGGTTTATAACTCCACCTGGAGTCTTAGAATGACACCAAACTACCTACTATTGTGTAAATAACAAAGTCCACCATATTTTCTACTGAGAGCGTAAATACAGTGTTGCTAAATTATCCCTTTTTCTATCTAGGTGGACTGGAACACAAGGCTATTTGAAATATGTATTCTACACTGATGACTGACTGGCTCATCAACGGCTCTTTAGTCAATACTCAGCAGGTGCCAGGGATGCTCTGCTCTATTGTGAGACACCCTCTCTGCCCTTCAGGAATTCCCTCATGGAATGACGGGGCAACTTTGGCAGATAGTGCACTCAAGTCAGAGAAAGCCAGAGGTCCTGTCAAGCCAGCTGTCAGAGTTTCTGCCACAGCAAACCAGAAGACAGACCCCTGGTTGACACCTGGAACATACTTCCCCATTGGTCTCATATGAAAGAGAAAAAGTATTGTTTCCTGGGATGTGACCTTAGGATGCCTTCCAACTCTCAAGATTATCCCTGTGGTAATCTTCACCCTCGAGTGCTGTAACAGCAGACCGCGTAAGCGGCCTTAAGTGCAACTTTCTTCGCACTGTTTGGTAACGCCAAATAAATCATAATACACCTCTAGGAAGAACATCCTATCCCCCAAGGCTTACAGAAAATTACAAGAACAACACCAGCAAAACCATTTAGGTTAACATAACTCCACACAGAACACTACAACTGGTATCAGATAACCACCATCTGATGCCCTGGGCTGAAAATGGAAGTAGGCCAACCAAGTCATGCAAGACAAAGCTACTTGAATTGACATCTAAAATTTAGCTACAGATAGACCATCTTTAGAGCATTTCTTCTGCTTAAATGCACCATTTTTCTTATTGCAAAAATGATTATGTACCTTTAACTGGTGTCTACTGATTCAAACATTAACAGCTAGGTTTTCATCATTTAAGCGTATAGTAACAAAGCACTAATAATCAAACAGTATACCGTACTCATGCTTTATTCACAAAACAGCTGAGAATATCCATTTTGGCTTTGCAATTCCACCACCACAACAGATTTGCAGAGGCTGCCTAGCACACAATCCCACAGTCAGCACACAATAAACTCAGAAATGTAGCATACCTCACATTTGCATCAAGTTTGTCCATTACAGGAAATGGGCATGAGTGTGCTGGATGTCAGTGCCCACAGGATCCTGCAAGGAAAATAAGACGTTAGGCAGGAAGGCAACGTGGAAAAATAAAGGTCTTCATTACAGGAAGAAAATGCCAAGCAAGTATTGCTTTCTATTGACTGGGATTTTCATTTTGTAGAATGATTTAATAACCAGTGCTATATCAAAGAACTACCAGCACACTGAGGTGGGGGGGGGCATGAGGCACTTTTGCTGAATGCTACAGAAAGATTCTGTTCCACTGATCTCCTGGGATGAAAGCATACAGGTTACTTCTCTTCACTCTGTACTAATCCACTTACTTGTTTTGCTTCGTTCTTCACAGAAACATAGCTTATTTCTATGATCTGTCTTAATACACTAACGAGTGAAAATAGGTAACTGCGCTGCTATAATTAAAACAGTATGTGGTCTAAAATGGTCAGGTATTTTTTTTACCTAAGAGGTCTTTCAGGTTTGTTACTTTTTATAAACAGCAAAAGTTGGGTATTTGATAATCCAGCAAATACTAACTTTCTGGCCAGAAACAGAAAATGTGTGCATGCACAGGCAAATATACTTTCTAGGGAGTCCAGGAATCAGACTCTCTATGTCTGTCGTCTGTCTGTCATCTGTGTGTGTTAGTGCAGGCTCACATTCATGTATGTGTGCATGCATGTAGAGGCCAGGGTTCGACGGTATGCAGCCTCCTCTATCACTCTGAAACTTGGATTTTTAGATTCTGTCCCTGAACTCGAAGTTCACCAGTTCGGCTAGACTGGCTAGCAAGAAAACATCCGGGATCCCCATCTCTGTCTTGCCCCAGACCAAAATGGCTTTTACATGGGTGCCAGGGATCTGAACTCAGGTCCTCACGCTACTGTAGCAAATGTTTTAGTGACTGAGCATCTCCCTAACCCCAGTCCAGGAATCTTGAGTCTAGATATTCAGGACTCCAAGGCTCACTTGTCGTTTCTAGGCTAAGTAATCCTAGCATCCACGTAAAGAAAGTTAAATTTCTGATTACTGGGAGATCCTTGGATGGAGGCTTTCAGAAGCCCCTACACAACTCTCGCATAACCAAGTTAGTTCTGTTAACCTCCTCTGAGAAAGAACCTTTAAGGTTCGCCTCCTATTTGTTCCACCACACGTTCAACTAGAGGATGCAAGGGACAGAGCCCAGCTGCCTCTCCAGGTTACCCTGGGCAATCGCCCTTTCCTTCCAGGCATCATCATCATTCACGTCTCAGAGCACGGGAGAGATCGTAAGAAAGCATGGCTGGGTTAGCTTCCAGCTCTGGTAGTCTGTAATTCCATCTGTGGCTTTTCTAATTGAATCTCCAGGTTTGTTTATCTGCATAAGAGAACCATGAAATTCAACCTAAGACTTTAGATGCCTTGGGTAGCATCAGGAAGAAAATGGACAACCGTGAGAGGAGGAGAGGACATAGGACAGGCCTTTTGCTTTTAGTATTCAGTATTTATTAGAATTTCTAAGTCTAACACAGACCTGGAATTTTTAGGGTTGTGGCAAGTGAAGGGAAGGCCCCACCTGCAGGATCCTAGGGCCTCAAATGCACAAATACACGCACAGCCTGAACCAACATCTCTCTGCCCACCATTACCTTCCATTTTGAAGTCAAGCCAAGTAATATTTTATTTGAAATATACAAGTGCAAAGCCCTTACTATTGAGTAGCAGGGTCCCTCCTTTTTGTAAAACCATTCCTGGAGTGATCATATCTGTTCAGGTGGTGTGTGTGTGTGTGTGTGTGTGTGTGTGTGTGTGTAAGGTTCACTATAGGCACCCGAAGTTAATCTCCATTGTGGGCTACTCCCAGATCCTCATTGCCCACCTGACATCTCATGCAGGATGATTAAAAAGCACTTCCAGTTGAACTCATCACTCCACCATTAAACTCAGTTACTCACAAGGAATTTCTTTTCCTCCATCCAATAGCCAAACCATCCATTCTGACCACTTGAAAACATCATCTTCATTCCTCTTTTCCTATCCCCCCCCCCCCTGCTCAAAACCAGAATCACATTACCTGAAATCTCCGCCTCTCTCCCTAGACCACGACACTCTTGATTTGGTTTCCTGACTGACAATCACTGTCACTTCCTCTCCCCTCTACCATGTCAATAATTTAAAAATATAAGTCACAAGTTGGACGGTGGTAGCACATGCCTTTAATCCCAGCACTTGGGCAGTAGAGGCAGGCAGATCTCTATGAGTTCAAGGCCAGCCTGTTCTGCAGAGCGAGTGCCAGCACAGGCTACAAAGTTACAGAGAGAAAACCCTGTCTCTTAAAAAAAAAAAAAATGTAAGTCTCACAATTTCTTGTATGCATATGTTATAGTTGTGTGGTGATTTAAACGACCACTATAGACTCATATGTTTGACTGCTTGGTTCCCACTTAGTGGAACTATATAGGAAGGGTTAAGAGCTGTCACCTTGTTAGAAAGTGTGCTACTGGGGATGGGCTTTGAGTTTTCAAAAGCCCACACCAGGCCCCATCTATCTTATTTCTCTCTGCCTGAAACGTATTGATCAGATGTGAGATTTCAGCTACTGCTTCAGTGCCAAGCCTGCCTAGCCACTACCATTGAGGTTCATGGACTAACCCTCTGAAACTGTAAGCAAAGCCCCAGTTGAACCCTTCCCTGGTATAAGTGGTCTTGGTTATGGTGTCTCCTCACAGCAGTAGAACAGAAACTAAGCTAAGTAGCTTCCAATCACTCACAGCGAAATCTAAACTGGTCGTCATAGCTAATCTGACTATACACACATGCGATCTGGCTTGAGCTTCCCTGCAAACTCAGCTTGTCCATCCTATTGCCCACACACTCGCAGCTGTGCCATTTCTCTTGAACATCAAAAGTAGACACCCCCCTTCCAAGAACTCTGCTTTGGTTTCCTCTTTGTGGATTCAACAAAAATTATTCTCTCACCTCAAATGTCACTTCCCCAGGAAGTCTTTTTTTCAACGTATAAAATCTCAGACCTCTTTTCCAGAAAATTCCTGTCCTCTACATTGTATTGGTTACTTTCTGGTACATGCATTTCTTCTAGTCAGCTGCATTCTCATCTGTGTTCTGTTTCTGTCATGTCAGCGCAAATTTCCATAAGTTGTTATCTTAACCACGCTCAAATCCTCAAAGCCTAGAAAGGTTCCCAGCACATTGCAGTCTCTCTGCAGACATGTCAGTCAAATAAGTAATTCATTCACTGTACAAATGAGGAAATTGAGTTTTGGCAGTCTGCAACTTTCTCACTGTGGCAGGGCGGGAGAGCGGGCAGGATTTCACAGGAACATCCTTGAGTACAGCATTATAAGTAAAATGTAGCCGAAGTCAGGGTGGGGAGATGCTTAGCAGTTACGGGCACAGGCTGCTCTTCCAGAGTCCGGGGTTCTGTTCCCAGAACTCACACGGCAACTCACAATTATCTGTAATATTAGTCTCAGGGGATCCAGTGCCCTCTCCTGGCTTCCACAGGCATAGTCACACACAAGGTGCATAAACATGTATGTAGGCAAGCAGTCATACACATAAAATAAAAGCAATTGCTTTAGTGGGTGAGTCCATTTCATTTTAATTAGCTGCAATTAACTATGTAGTTATGAATGCCAGACACTGTTTCTTTTTCCTTCCATCTCTGAATCTTTATCTCCAGCTCCAGGTCAGAGAGTTTAATTTACTTTCTAAGTTACACAGCTAATGCATGGCAAACCTGGGAACAGAACACAAAACCATAAATTCCAGAACTCAAGGTTTATCTTGCATAGCCGTGATGATGAGACTATATGGGTGTGATTTCTCTGACATCCCTAGGGGATGTAATCTCACAAAACTTCCTGTTTCTCTAGCTCTTAGAATCTTTCTGGACCCTCTTTTTCAATGAGCTCTGAGTGTTAGGTGCAGGAGTTTTGTTGTAGATATATTCATGTGAATGGGCCACCCTAACGCTGCATCTTGATTAGCATGGGTTTTTTGTAAAGGCCTCCATCTGGTAAGAGAACTTTCCTTTATGATGGATGAGGTCTACACTTATCTGTGTAATAAATATTTAGATATATAATGAATAAATGAAATTAATAAATACTTAGATATAAATATTTAGAGAAATATTTAGAGTGTAGTTAGGGATTATGCTGGTTTAGCAAACTGGTGGTTATAGGTTCCAACCCAGATGGGAAATTCTCATATATAAACTGTATATATACACAAATAGACTTGCATGTATTAGAAGTACTAGGAATTTTGGTAGATAGTTCATATATGATTCTGTATGGCCTTTCCTACACACCCTTATTGTTATTTTACCCTCCTGACTCCTTCTCTATTTACCTCACTGCCTCCTCTCTAATCCCATCTCCCATTTTTACCAATTCCCCCCTTCAGATACCTGACACCCTACTATTCCCCTAGCTATTGCTCTCTAGGCCCACCCCCACAATGGTGTTGTTTTACTTTTTCTGGTTTCAAAGTTTACTGCTTTAAGTCAGTTTGAGTTAGAGTTCTGCCACAACTCAAAGAATCCTTAATAATACTCAAAAAATAAATAAATATTGCTCTGAGATGCAGATTAGAAGAGAAATCCGAGTAGCAAAAAAAAAATGATTGAAAGTTAAATAAAATTGAGTTTACATTTGAAAAATGTTATAATGCGAGGTGGAAACCACTTGTGTTTATAACAATGTTCAGTGTTGCATTTTGCTCATTGAAAATTAAAAGTATGGCCATTATGCTAACCAGTGAGACAGTATCTATTCTGTTAACGGGGAAGGACACCAAGGCAAACTGAGGATGAGTGATCAGCACCTATTCTAGTTTGACTAATCAATTACACGCTGTAGTATTTTGTGCTGTTTGCTGAGAAAATTTAGTCAGAGCTATGAGCACATTAGTATCTCTTATTCAGAGAATTTCACTGTGTGGAGGGGGTGGGGTGTGTGTGTGGTGTGGGTGTGTGATGAGTGTTTTTACTCACTACCCTTAGAATTCTGGCTTAACATACTTCAGAACTTTAATTACTA